TTAGATTTTCATCATAGAGTGTGTGCCAATCGGTAACAATTTACTTGAAAATGTAAATTTTTGATAGATATGAGGTGAATAAAATTTTACTAGCTCATAGGGCTACATAAATTTTTGACAAATGAAAATAAAAATTTGAAAATACAAAAAATAAAATATTTTATAATTTCAGTTTATAATACATTTGTGATTGTAGAAATTTATTTCAATAATAAAAAAATCAATAAAAGTGCTTCTTTTATTAAAACAAATGCAGATTTTCTTGTGCAATTAGTGACAATTGTCAAAATTTAATCAAAAAAGATTTCGTTTGGCACAGCAAAAGTGATAATATTTTCCACCATAAGAAAATTTTATTTTACCATAGAACTTTTCTGCCGTTTGGCACACAGTCTTAATAGTGATTTTATTACGATATTTATAAAAATTAGCTTTTTTATGGAAGCTCAGTTTTAGACCAAACTCCAAAAAAATATATATGTTTTTATTTATATGAGCTAAGGACATGACCAAATATGGGTCGTTATGAACATCCGTAGTATAATTTTTGATTGTATATAGAAAACTAATAATCAGTCTTTTATTTGGGTAAAGAGTTTTTATTGTCCAAGGAACAATACTATTGGATTTAGCTTGAAGTTTTTATATTTATATTTAAGATTTACGAAACACACTAATGTGTGTTAACAGGGTTATGCATAAATTAAAAATTGTATGTTTGTATTATGTATTAGGTGTGTTATATTTGGCAATAAAATATACATTATAATTTTGTGTGTTTGTCTAATACATTGAAAAACTAGTAAGAATCTATAGTCGGACATGGCCTACCATATGATACCCTAGACCAGTGGGTATGTTAAAATGGGGATTATTTTAATAATAAAGCATTGAATAACTCTGAAATATTTTTACAATTTGTTGACAGAAAAGAGTTTTTCTAAATGAGGGGTTATATGGGGGCAAAAGTAAATATGAGCCTCGCCTTATAAATTTTGGTAGAGGGATTTAAGTCTACATTAAAGTTATTTATGCAGAATTTTAACGTGATATTACTGTTTATAAGTAAATTTTGACCTATAGAAATTTTCTGAAGGGTACTTTGTATGATCAGGCCTCATAATTACGAAAATTGGCTTTATCATTTATACTTACATTACATAAAATCAAGTTTGGCCGAAAGTAGGACCAATATTTTTGGGTATTGCAAACATCAGCACAAACGCACAATTACCCTCCCCACTATAGTGGTGTAGGGTAAAAATAGCAAAGAAAAGCAACAAGACAACACTAATAACAATAAAAAACATTCTCATGCTTATGAAACCTTCAGTCCCCCGAGCTTCATTCTTGCATCTGTATCAAATCCTGCAAAGAATACATGAAGGAAGTCATTCAGCAAAAACTTACATTCTAACAAGTACGTATGTGTCTATGTAGTAGTACAAATGTGTTTGTTTTTGTATGAATGTATGTATTTTTATTTTGTAATTTATTAGAAACAAAGTTGAAAAGTTTTTTTCCTCCGGAAATCTAGTTGTAATTTGTGTAAAACTTTTCATTCGAAGTGTTAACGAGTTTCCAAATGAAATTGTATTTTTCGTCGTACACATCGTCGACTTCACAATCATTGGAGTCGGCCCCCGCCAAAGTTTTTGAAAAATTTCATACATGTGAATCTTTTCCAATATTTATGTTTACACATACATACATAGTATGTATATACAATGTACATATATATATATATATTAGGGATAGGTATCACTAATTTTGGCAAAATTTTCGCCATTTTTTAGGTTATTTGGGATCATAAACATAACGCACCAGCAGCAATTTCTAATATAAACAAATTTTTTAATGTTTTTATTTTAAATACTATACATATGGATATTTCCACATTTCCTATATCTTCAGTTCGATTGCTCGCCTCAAAAAAGTCCATAAAAAATAATAAGAAACACAAAATTTTTCGGTACAATCAAAAAAATTTCCGCATATGTATATTTTTCAGAAGTTTGATATTTGTAAAAAAGCAAAAAGTCATGCCCTATATACATACAGTGGACGTCCTGTAGTACGAATTATATATTGTCAGGTCCTTTCGTAGTACCAAGCAACAGTGAATAACAATTTTTAATTCGTAGGTTAGTATTATTAGTTAAGTTTTTAGTAGATTTATGTTATATACCAGAGGAAAATGTGAACTTTCTATATTCAGGAACAAAATAGTTTTTGCAATTTTGCGGCATTTTTTCGCGATTTTTTTTAAATTTTTGCTTATCGCACACTTTTTATATACATACATATGGGGACCCAAAAAAACGATTTTGACGAAATTTGCACAAACGTTAGTACTTTGAATTGGTCAGACACAAATTTTCAGCTATATCGGTCAAGGACTGCCGGACTAAAAATATTTTTTTTGATAGATATCACACTAAGCTCTTCAAGGAATTTGCTCTTCAAGCAAAAAATGCCCATTTTGAAAACAAATTAAAAAATTTTTTTGGAAAGAATGAAGAAAAAGCTATCTGAACTTCTTTGGGCAATTTTTTCTACGATCAATGTGTGAAAAGTTACACTCATTTGAATAAAACCCAGTATGACCTAAATGTCCAACTTTGACCCTCTCTAAGTCCGGCAATTGACCGATAGAGCTGAAAATTTGTGTCTGACCTACTATCCAATAGTACTAACGTTTGTGCAGAGTTCACCCAAATCGTAAGACATAGATTTTTAAAGTTGGGTCACTTGACACGAAATTCCCCATAGGTATGTATTTATGTATCAATTGTTAATTTTTCAGGTTTTAGGAGATATTTATAAGTGAAAGTAGCAAGTGGTAAATAATTATTATATCCTTAATAAAATATGAAATCTCTATTTTCAGAAACAAATGTTTGAAAATATCACTTTTTTGAAAATTTAAATAATTTTAGTTAACACTTTCTAATAAAAAATAGATAAGATTATTACAACTGAAAGTAACAAGTATTCACAAATTGTTCTATACCCAGCTAAAAACGATCATATATGGATCATATATGAATCATATATGGACCATATATATTCATATCCAAAAAATGGCGATATATGATCATGTAATATATGGAAACATATGAATATATGGAAAGATATGAAAATATATGGAGATTATGCCCAATTCCGCCAATTTTCAGATATGAACATATATGAAAATATATGCTTCATATATGAATCCATATATGATCCATACATAATCTTTTTTACCTGGGTACTGAAATTAAATATAAAATGTCTGCTTTCAGAAACAAGAAAAAGTTTGCGCAATTATTTTTGGCGATTTTTAGAAAACTTTACTTTTTTTAAAAATTAAAAAAAAACACATTTTTCTATCAAAAATATACAACTGATTTTATTAAGGGAACTAGGGACAATTTCGGACCGATCATAACAAAAATTTGGTAAAATGAATAACATTTATATAAAACTCGTCCATGTCGAATTTCATCGCATGATCAAATTTTAAGAATTGTTTCAAATTTACCTTTACATTTCCTACATATTAAATGCATACGCCATATAATATGCAAAAAAAAAACTGAACTACCACTTAACAGACTGTTACAGAACGTACTAAATTTAACAAATGTTAGCCTATTTTATATAATTAACATAATACAAGTTAAATATTTAACATACTAAAACCATAATTTTTTCAATGTTGTCAGAATGAATGGACAGATGGACATAGCTACATCGACTCAGAATTCCATAAGGATCCATAATATACATACATACATATGTATGTATATACATATGTATATATGTACATTAGGGATATAACTATAGAAAGTGTTCTATTAATATTCAATATTGCTTAATTACAAGCAAAATAGTTTTTCATTTAGCATACATTGATTGTGTGTATATAATATGGAATTTTTACAATTTAAAATAAAACTTTATTTTATTTTTATATGTTTTTTTTTTTAATTTTAACTTTTGTTTAGTTTATCCTTAATTTCCATTTCAATTGGTTTTTTTTTATAAAATTTGGAATACTTAAGAAAATAAAGAAAAAACAAGTCGGAAAAAGACAAACAAAAGATGAACTAAAAAAAAATCTTTTAAATGCAAGTTGGAAATAAAAAATGTCAAAGAAAAGTTTAAACGAAAAGTTTTCATATAGTTTTTAACATTTGTTACAAACTATAAAAAATAAATATCATAAAGTCTCATCGCGCAAGTTGCTGACTGCTCTTTTGACAAATTTACTTATTTAGATTCTTATTTCTTTTTTATACGCAAATTTTTGCAAATTGGCTAAAATTTTATTAATTATTTTATTATATCTAGTTTTTCAATTCACAGAGCAATTCAAAAATAATAATAATAAATTTTAAATTATTTTTTAGTATTAATTAAATTAAATTTTGTTGGATGATTTCTTAATATTTGTTTCATATTTCTTTATATTTTAGTAATAAATATTTTCATTTTTGCTAGTTATACATATGTATAACCGAAACATGTTTTTCAGTTAAATTTACCTCAAACTTTAGCTTAATTTGTAAGTTAAATTATAACTGAACTTGTATAATTTTATACGTTAACTCATAACGTTTATAAATTTAATGTTTATAAAATTGTCTTAGAATGATAACAGCAAAACATAACGTACATACATACATATCAATCATTTACTACAAGACTGGAATAAATCAATAGACTTCGGTTTGAGTAAAACAGTATTGAATGTTTTATGAAATTTTACTATTTTTTTGAATAACTTTCAAACAGATCGCCGGATTTGTAAAATAAAACTTTATATATAAAGTAGGTTTTGCTTCAATTCCCCAAAATACCTGGCGACATCAGTTTCATCGATATAAATGATATTGGAATATGACGATAAATTAATTAATTTTTTTAAAAAATTTTTCTTACAAATATACATAAATTTTCATTAATTCAGAGAATTAAGAATTCAGAGAACATATATAGTGATAAAAACATACCTCTAATTCCGATAGCAAGTCTTTTTTCTCAACTTCTGTTGCATTTTCTTTGATTGTTTTCACTGCAACGGTTGTAACGCCTTCGCTTCCTGTTTAATAAAAAAATTATATATTATATAAATCTTATGAAGAAAAATAAAAACTTTATACATATTTATTTTATAGCTCTATGGAATTTCAGTTTCTATTGACAAATGCACAAACACTTAATTTACAAAACACATTGGAGTAGATTGTGAAAATAAAATAGCAAATACGATTTCAGCATACGAAATCTTTAAGAAATTTTTAATATATCTCTGAATCTCAGTAAATGTATTAATGTTAGCACCTTCACCAGGGTATCTGGTGTGGATAGAGTTCTATATATTAACCTACCGAAGGCATTAATTACCCTTTGATTTATATATGTAGATTATTATAGAAAGGTAAAATTCGCACACTTTCAAATTCCGTAGTGCTCGGTTCATAATTGACCCATTATAGGTCCTATTCCAAAAATTAATATAATGTTCGTATTAATATTGATATACATATTATAAAAAAATTCAGACTAAATTAAAGAAATTATTAAACTGTGATAATAAATGTTGTATGGATCGATCCATAAAGATTTTTGTTAATATATTGGTTATATTGGTTATTATTATATTACTTATAGTATTTCCGAAAGTAACACACTATTGAAATTTCGGACCAATCTTTACGAAGTTACTAGTTTTTACTAGCATTCATTTCGCTTTAGACCCATTGTGCAACAGTACTTCGGCATGTGAATATTACTTACTTGTGACCTATGTAGTTCATACAAGAGTACGCTATAAATTCATTCCTACCACAATAAAAGTCGTGAAATGGAAACAACTTTTTAGTCATCCATTCCATTTCACAAAAAGTAAAATATATCAGAGTGCTGTGGTATTTATTTATCTTTTCTCTTCGTTAATGCTCTGGTGAAAGTGTATTTGGTCCAGACAACAAATTAAAAACAATTTTAGCAGAAAAGCAAAAGGAAAAATAAAAAGTCCATAAAAACCAACAAATGGAAATTGTAAAAATTCTAACAACAAACACTTGCAGTGGCAAACGGTAGTGGGACTTATGACCAAAGTGGCAACTGTGGTTGCAGGAAAAATCTTTCTAGGTAATTGATTATATGAAGAGGAGAAAATGCGTTTCAATTCACCAAAAAATTGAGATTGACACTGAAAAATAAATATACTTGTAGTACATTCACGATGAGTGTGCGTGCATAGATGGCATTTATTTTTGGTTCATTAGGTGAATTTAACCAAAAGGAATTCTTTCAATACATACAAATATTGTGGTATTTTATGTTTATCAGTACATTAGTTTATACCTAACTGAAGAAAGTTCTTGGCAGGAACAAAGACATTGTCTACGTAGCTTTTTAATATCCACTCGAATGCCTTTTAATGATGTTGCTTGTTGTCCTGTCCCGTACATAATATTTTGTCTTCCTATTCCTTCTTCAAGTTTCTTAAGTTTATTTTTATTGTGTTGCAATATAAAATGCAACATTTATTTATTTAGTTAATACACTCGTGTATGTGAGCATGACTGCATACATACATACTTATGTACATATCTCTCGGTCCAACATTTTGTCAGTCTCCTTTTGTTATTGATATTAAGATGTTTATTTTATTTAGTTTTGTTTGCGTTTTTGTCCAACATTCCCCAGATGCATTCAAATGTCCACATAATGTTTGTTACGTGTCCTTTCAAAGGTGAAAACTATGAACAAATATTGTTTTGTAAAATACTCCAAACAACAATAAAAAGGAAGTGCACGAATGAAAAAAAATATGTTTATGGAGCAACATCGAAAACTCCTTCTTTTGCGTGTCCATGATTTGTGAGTGAGGGCATCTATATGAGTTACAATAAACAACTACATATCAATAGTCAATAGTATGTGTATATGTTGCTGCAGTTACCCACCAAAAACTTACATTAGCAAGTAATGAGTTAAAATGCTAAAAAAGCTCACACAGAATACGAACCTGGGCTTCTCAAAGTAATGCAGACGGTAAGTAGTAGTTATTGAAAAGAAGGTGGTTATGTAAGCACTAGCCATTGCTAAGTTGTTACTGGGTACAAGCTGAAATTTATTTGAATATTTGTGGCTTTTCAACAATAAACATACTTAAATATTTTTTCTTGTCTTTTGTCTATTTTTCATTCAAAACCAATTTTAATAATATAGCAATGTATGCACACATACATTTAGATTGTCCCGAGAAACTGCCTTTTTAAGAACCTCATGTAGGAATACCTCTCAATCGATGCGTATTAATGTACTGAACACGAAAAAACTGAGGCCCTTCAAAAAAATTATTTTTATCGTATTTAGTAAATTAATACTCATCGTACGAGAGGTATTCCTACAATAAAAGTGGTCCAAGGGATACCCTAACATACATATGGATATAAATGGTCTCAAGATATTAAATTCGAAGTTAGGTTCAAATTGTTTTTTAAGTTATTAATAGTAGCAATGTGTTCGATCATACAGTACCCAATAAGTAGCCTTATCAAAATAGTATCAAAAGTCAGGGTCATTTGGGAAACTAAGACCAATCTTCTCTCTTTATGATTTGTAAGGCCCTTTAAACAAATTTTAATAGCTGTAGCTGCATATCAGTCTACTTCCTAAAATTCTACCTTTAGTAACCTTGACTCTATAAGTCTTAGAGATTTATCAGAAATGCATTAAATGTAGAAGTCAAGGACAATTACGTCACATTTTTTCCACAGTGACCAGGCATATGGATAAAATTGCTCAGTATAACTATTTGCTGTAGTAATTTTTTCCAATTTCTAATTGCCTCAGAGTATCGTCTACAAAACATATATTAAATTTGCTAAATGCACTTTGAATATCCCATTTCTTGAAAACACATTTCTTCACGTCTGGTGTTTCCACGGCGGTATCGACACCACGCAGGACTTCATCTTAAGACTTATAGTTCATGTACTACACAGGAATGTAATCAGTTTCCAGACTCTCTCTATATTCTAACAAACCATGGCAACATACTGATAATTATCTTTGTAACAAGGTAGAGTATATACTATCCGATTCCGAAGATTTAAAGAACTGAAATTAAGGAACTGTTCTCTCTAATCTTTACTAATACATTTAAGTAAGTTTTTCCAATGTTTAGGTTGCGACCTACATATGGTCCCCTAAAACGCAAACGGTCCTATCTATTTTTTTTAAATTTTACTAGAGAAGCAAAAAATTATTTAAAATAAAAAGTTTGTTTCTATCAGCTCGGTTTATTTTTATTAAATAAACCTATTATTTCTAACCAATTATATACATGGGCAATTTCATGCCAAGTGATCCAAATCAAAAAGGTTAGTACTAATGGATAGTAGTCCAGAAACAAATTTTGAGCTGTATTGGTTAGGAACTGCTAGGGATCAAAATAGGACATTTTGGTCATACAGGGTTTTATTCAAATGAGATTTTGTTCTATTTTTTTTTTTTTTTGCTCCAAAGAAAGCTTAGACAATTTCATTTAAGATCTTTCTGGTTACTTAGTGGGATGCGAGTGGGATATCTATAAAAAACAATTCTGACTATCCAATAGTACAAATTGGTGCAAATTTCACCAAAATCGGAAGACATCGATGTTAAAAGTTGGGTCACTTGACATGAAATTCTCCACATATGTATAAATGTATGATATTGGATAAAATTGTAATTCTTTAACTAACTGAAAAAAATTACATACACTTTAGTGGGGAGGGTATATTGGGTTTGTGATGATGACGCATAAAAATATTCGTCCTGTACTCACCTTAAATTATATCAATCGGTTAAGAATCATTCTGAATCGATTTAGCTAAGTCCGTCTGTCCGTCTATGTAAACCTGGTAATCAAAGTACAGGTCACATTTTTCAAGATAATTTGATGAAATTTGGCCTATTGAAAATGGTTAAAATCAATTCATTATTTCACCTAGACTCGTACCCCCCAAATAGAGCTTTTGAGCCCATAATTATGTTAAAATTTGTAGTATCTCTACAAAAATCATTAAGACATTGTTTTATATAAGTCTAAAAGTACTTCCGAAACAATAACATTTATCACCACTTCAAAAGTAGCATTAAGTTATTTTTTTACTTTCTGTTAAAGTGATGTTAAATGACTTCCGAAGACGTGAAAATAATTTAATATTTTTAATGCTGAAGATATATTTTTTTGTTCTCACCTTTTTTGAGTTTTAGTATTTATGTTAAATTAGTTGTATTCTATAATACTACAACTTCACTTCCAAATAACTTTATTTATTATATTTATTTTATTTATCTATTTATATTTAATGTTAACGTAAAGCCCTCTATGAACATTTATAAGGATAGGCTCATAATTCCCCTTGCCCACATATAACCTCTCTTCAGTAAAATCACTTCTTTTATCAACAAATTGTTTAAATATTTCGGAACTAATGAAAAACTACTTAAAAAATTTAACTGTTTAATTGATATTAGTTGTGTTTTGTTGCTAACGTTCAAAGGCAATTTCATATAAATTTAAAATTTATAAACGTTAGGAGTTAACGTGTAAAATTATACAAGTTAATTTTAACGTTGATAAAAGTGCTACCAATTCAAAAATAAAAATACAAATATTAATGTGTTTATGTCAAACAATAAAAAAATATTTTAAAATAAAATTTAAATCAAAGAAAATTACCAAATAAAAAAACCTTTTCAAGAAATTGTAAATAATTTCAAGATTTAGCAGATTTCTTCTGTGGAGTGATGCCAAGTCAGGTAATGTTCGTTTTGTTGCTAACTTTAAGCGTTAACACTCATTGATAGCAACAAAACACAACTATTATTAACATATTTATTTTTACTAAATATTTCATTTATTTAATTGATGTAGCTCCGCAGTTTTCTTTTAAGTTTTTTCACACAAACTGATTGTCAAAATTGATTTGAAATTGCATATGTGACGTAAGCTGCGGTCAATTTTAAACAAGTTTACTTTTTAAATTGTCATTGTCATTATATTTATTAATTTTATTCACAAACTTATTTAATTTG